TTGCTCCCATTCGTTGCTCCCATTCGTTGCTCCCATTCGTTGCTCCCATTCGTTGCTCCCATTCGTTGCTCCCATTCGTTGCTCCCATTCGTTGCTCCCATTCGTTGCTCCCATTCGTTGCTCCCATTCGTTGCTCCCATTCGTTGCTCCCATTCGTTGCTCCCATTCGTTGCTCCCATTCGTTGCTCCCATTCGTTGCTCCCATTCGTTGCTCCCATTCGTTGCTCCCATTCGTTGCTCCCATTCGTTGCTCCCATTCGTTGCTCCCATTCGTTGCTCCCATTCGTTGCTCCCATTCGTTGCTCCCATTCGTTGCTCCCATTCGTTGCTCCCAATTCGTTGCTCCCATTCGTTGCTCCCATTCGTTGCTCCCATTCGTTGCTCCCATTCGTTGCTCCCATTCGTTGCTCCCATTCGTTTGCTCCCATTCGTTGCTCCCATTCGTTGCTCCCATTCGTTGCTCCCATTCGTTGCTCCCATTCGTTGCTCCCATTCGTTGCTCCCATTCGTTGCTCCCATTCGTTGCTCCCATTCGTTGCTCCCATTCGTTGCTCCCATTCGTTGCTCCCATTCGTTGCTCCCATTCGTTGCTCCCATTCGTTGCTCCCATTCGTTGCTCCCATTCGTTGCTCCCATTCGTTGCTCCCATTCGTTGCTCCCCATTCGTTGCTCCCATTCGTTCTTCCCATTCGTTGCTCCCATTCGTTGCTCCCATTCGTTGCTCCCATTCGTTGCTCCCATTCGTTGCTCCCATTCGTTGCTCCCATTCGTTGCTCCCATTCGTTGCTCCCATTCGTTGCTCCCATTCGTTGCTCCCATTCGTTGCTCCCATTCGTTGCTCCCATTCGTTGCTCCCATTCGTTGCTCCCATTCGTTGCTCCCATTCGTTGCTCCCATTCGTTGCTCCCATTCGTTGCTCCCATTCGTTGCTCCCATTCGTTGCTCCCATTCGTTGCTCCCATTCGTTGCTCCCATTCGTTGCTCCCATTCGTTGCTCCCATTCGTTGCTCCCATTCGTTGCTCCCATTCGTTGCTCCCATTCGTTGCTCCCATTCGTTGCTCCCATTCGTTGCTCCCATTCGTTGCTCCCATTCGTTGCTCCCATTCGTTGCTCCCATTCGTTGCTCCCATTCGTTGCTCCCATTCGTTGCTCCCATTCGTTGCTCCCATTCGTTGCTCCCATTCGTTGCTCCCATTCGTTGCTCCCATTCGTTGCTCCCATTCGTTGCTCCCATTCGTTGCTCCCATTCGTTGCTCCCATTCGTTGCTCCCATTCGTTGCTCCCATTCGTTGCTCCCATTCGTTGCTCCCATTCGTTGCTCCCATTCGTTGCTCCCATTCGTTGCTCCCATTCGTTGCTCCCATTCGTTGCTCCCATTCGTTGCTCCCATTCGTTGCTCCCATCTCCCTTTCCTGATTCCCCTTCATCCCCCATTTCCATTCCCTTGCAGGCGTGGTGGAAATCCTACACAAGCTCGTGTGAGAGCATGCGGACTTCTTCCCTCTATTCCCCTGCCCTTCCCCATCCTTGCCTCTCCTTCCCACTCCCTGCCTCCCCTCTGCAGGTGTAGTGGCAATCCTACACAAGCTTGTGCGAGCACATGTGGACGAATTTCTGGGTCTGGGCTTTCTATGTGCCTCAGCACGGCTGCCCTTCCCCCTTTGTCTCCCCTCTGCAGGCGTGGTGGCAATTCTAGACAAGCTCGTGTGTGCGCATGCAGACGTCTTTCTGGCGGGGTCATGGGCCTGCGGGGGCGGCAGGGGGTACGAGAGAGACATACTGAAGCACCGCAACCAGTTTGGTTACTCCGATGACACGCTGCAACGATGGGCGGAAGAGCAGTGAGGTGCAGCGATGGGCGGAAGGGCAGTGAAAGTGTGGGTCCGGAGGAGGTCGTGGGACTGTGGGGGCGGCAGGGGATATGAGGGCGACATTATGAAGCACCGCCGCCAGTTCAGCTACTCGGATGAGACGCTGCAGCAGTGGAGCACAGGGTCAGTGAGGTGCAACGGTGGAGCACAGGGTCAGTGAACCACACGCCCCTGGGTACGACCACGCGCCCCTGGGTACGACCACACGCCCCTGGGTACGACCACACGCCCCTGGGTACGACCACGCGCCCCTGGGTACGACCACACCCCCCTGGGTACGACCACGCGCCCCTGGGTACGACCTTTTGGGGTGCTGCTGTGGCGGTGGGTGGGTGCATTGCAGGCACACCGAATAAAACATGCTAAGAAGTTAACTTGGCGATGCTGCTGGAGTCGTGGGTTGGTGTGTGCAAGGGCAACGGAAGAGACATGCCTAGAACCGAGTTTTGTTGTTCTGCTGCAGAGGTGTGAGCAAATGGGAACACACGGAGCTTCAATGTGGGTTCTTCAGTGCTGGATGAGGCGAGGGGCAGTGCCCCTTGCCTCTGCAGCCATGGTGGGGTGATGAAAACTGGGTTGCAGAATGGGGCAGGTGCCATTCTGCTCTTTTTTACTTGACTGTAATGCCTGTGCCAGCAATAGGAAGCCATATCCCACTGTAACGGAGGGATATCATACGCGAGTTGCTGTAGTGTTTTGCCATGTGCTACGTATATAAACTACAGTGAGTTTATTGTCATACTGCAGTTCTTGCTGCACTGGCAGCGCTTTTGTGAGTTTTTCTTTTGTGCATGCAGTTTACCTTATGATGTTAATCGATTTTGAGAAAACGAGAATGCACTAAATGTGGGTTCAAGCATTCAGGGTTTCGGGTTCAAGCAAAGCCTGTCAGTATCTAGTCCACGTCGCACTCCTACATAGCAGCCTTGCACCCATTTAATCGACTACGTATGTCTTAATTGGTACTCGTATCCAGCTTAGACAAATATGGTAGGTACTTGTGCAATGTTTGTTAATGGCCTATTAAACTACAACAATTCAAATGAATGTTACACGAATCACAGTGAAAACACCGTGCGCCCGTCTAGTCATCTCATCTCCTACTCCAGGAGCCCTGTCGCCTGTACGTGCGCATGCTCATGGCATGGCTGACAATCACACTCCCCGCATCCCCCCCATTCTGCATGCGCGGGCTCGATGGCCTTGGGCTCGCCACTCGTGGCGACATGCCCATCATTCCCACCCCAGGGGAACCTTCGGTCATACCCCCTGGAGGTCCAAAAGCACGGGGTGAGTAGCCCCTGGGTGACATGGCTCTGGGGCTACTTCCGCTACTTCCCTGGAAATGCAGGGCACGTGGACTACATGTCCGCATGGCAGCAGAAGCAATCATAGCACCAATGTGCTGAGTCACTCGCTAAGCGTTTCAAGCTTTCTACAGATTACGTCGCTACACCGTATCGGTCTACACCCACCGGGCACATCCTAAACAACACCAAACTTTCGGCAGCTGGTCTACAACTGTACCAGCAGCAACTTGGGTGCCTTCTCTTCGCAGCAGTCACGTGTCGTCCCGACCTTGCGTACGTCGCAAGTTATCTCGCACAATTTTTACGCTGACCAAAAGAAGAACACCATCTCGATCTTCAGCGCGCTCTACACTACTTTGTCGCAACACCAACAGTCGGGCTGATTTTCAACACAGGAAAACCGACCGACAAAATGTACCTCAGCGGATATGTTGACGCAGACCACGCTGGTGACACGTCAGATCGTCGGTCACGAACAGGCTACATTTTTCGTCTCGAGCCAATTGGCCCGATCTCGTGGAACTCATCGAAACAAGAACTCGTGTCACTTTCCTCGGCTGAAGCAGAATTCATTGCTGCGTGTGCTGCAACTCGAGAAGGACTAAACTTACAGGAACTGCTCGACGAAGCAAAGTTCGTCACGCCGAATCAGTTTACGTTGCAGTGCGACAACCAGAGTGCGATTACCATCGCCAACAAACCCGGCTTCGTCAATCGCACAAAACATATTTCACTGCGTTACTTCTTCGTCAAGGATGCGATCGACAAAGGGAGAATGCGCCTTGTCTACTGTCCCACTGGTGACATGGCAGCTGACTCACTTACCAAGAAACTGACACGACATAAGTTTCACCACTGCAACCAGCTCAGCGGCGTTTCTGAGACAACCGGGTAACTACACCAAACTCCTAGAAGTGAAGGGGAGTGTTGAGATAATATGAAGACTTAAGCACTTCAAGGATTCGTGTAGTACAGTGCGAGACTTCGCACGTAACAGTAAAGTACCGATAGGCTGACGTCAGCAAAGCACTAGCGCCCTAGGATGACGTCAGCACATAGCTATAGGCCTCGCGAAAATTCACGTACCGTTTCAGAACAGGAATAGCACAGTACAGTAGGCGAACAGGTACTTTACTGTAGCTATATATTTTGTATGTTTGTCATTTTTAAATATATCTGATTTCAGAGACATTGATCCTGAAACATATCACTACATGGGCTTTCACTAGTCCAGACAAAGCCTCCTTAACTGGCTTTAATTCATACAAGACTTCCGCTACGACAGGAAGCTACCATCCTAAGTAATACGATCCTATTCAATAATCTCAAATTCTAACAGTATCCAGCTTAGACAAATATGGTAGGTACTTGTGCAATGTTTGTTAATGGCCTATTAAACTACAACAATTCAAATGAATGTTACACGAATTACAGTGAAAACACCGTGCGCCCGTCTAGTCATCTCATCTCCTACTCCAGGAGCCCTGTCGCCTGTACGTGCTCATGCTCATGGCATGGCTGACAATCACACTCCCCGCATCCCCCCCATTCTGCATGCGCGGGCTCGATGGCCTTGGGCTCGCCACTCGTGGCGACATGCCCATCATTCCCACCCCAGGGGAACATCCGGTCATACCCCCTGGAGGTCCAAAAGCACGGGGTGAGTAGCCCCTGGGTGACATGGCTCTGGGGCTACTTCCGCTACTTCCCTGGAAATGCAGGGCACGTGGGCTAGATGTCCGCATGGCAGCAGAAGCAATCATAGCACCAATGTCGGGTGCGGTGGGACTAGCCGCGTTCCGAGATGGATAGTAGCTATTATTCACGCTCGGCGAGCCGCCTATCCTCGGGCTGCTGCTGGTTCGGTACGGCTCGGCAGCCCTCGCCGAGCCTGGCATCCCGTACTGCCTTGGGCTGCTGCTGCTGGCTCGGTATGCCTCGGGAGCCCTTGCCGAGCCTGGCATGCCGTAGTAAGCACTGTTCTGTGACAGCGACCCAGCCCCCCCTATCCTGGGACTCGTCCCTCTACTCGAATCTGACCAAGCAGCAGCACCCCCTCCCCCTCCCCCACCACTGCCGTACCCACCAGACCTTCCGGGAAGAGAGGCAGCAGCAGGGTACCCGCGGGGGCTGGGGTCTCGGAAGTAAGGGGCGCGGGGGGAGGGCTCTCGGATGGCGGTGTGGGGGGAGGAGTCGCGCGGGGGGTGCGTGCGGGGGGAGGAGTCGCAGTGGCGGAAGGAGGCGCGGGGGGAGGGGTCGTAGGCGAGGGAGCGCGCACTGGATGGGCTGGGCCTCCTCGCCACCCAGTCGTCCCTCTGATGGGGGCGAGGGGGAGGGAGGGAGGGCGAGGGAGGACGAGAGAGGGTTGAGGAAGTGGGAGGGACGAGAGGAGGAGGGATTAGAGTTTAGGAAGAGAGAGGCGGGGTGGAGGAAGTGATGGGGAGAGGAAGAGGGGTCAGTATATGAGGAGAGGGTAATGATGTGCGGCCCCTTGTGAGAATCCTAAGAAATGCATGACCACCATATTGCAAGCTCAACCACCCCTATTCATGACCACACCATTTTTGAGGCGCCTCAAAAACCATTTTTGAGGCGCCTCAAAAACCATTTTTGAGGCGCCTCAAAAGTCGCCACCATATTGCAAGCTCAACCACCCCTATTCATGACCACACCATTCATACCGATGACCACACCATTCATACCGATGACCACACCACACCCACTCATACCTCTCACGTGCTTGGGGTCCTTGCTCAGAGCACAGCTGCTTGGGATGTCCACTCTCCCCAGCATGCGCACATCTACCTGTGCCATCCATGGCCGCACGAGTGCATGGCCGCCACGCATCGCAGCGCCACACCCAGCCTGCACTGCACATCTCGGCCACAACCACACCGCACCCACTCATCACCACACTCTACCCATTCATACCTTCTTGGGGTCCTTGCTCTCCAGCATGTGAACGATCTGAGGCATCTTGGGGCGCTTGAGGGCGTTGGGCTCAACGCATCGCAGCGCCACTCCCAGGGCGTACTCCACGTCGTCTGCCTGCACCGTGCCCTGCAGCCGTGGGTCTAGGACCTCTAACAGGCGCTCCTCTGCTGCCTTGGCTCGCACCCACCGCACCAAGTCAACCTGCAAGCAAGGAGGGAGGGAGGGAGTGAGTGAGGCAGCGAGTGAGAGAGTGAGTGGGTGGGGAGGATCAGGGGCGTACTCCACGTCGTCTGCCTGCACTGCGCCCTGCTGGCGTGGATCTAGGACCTTTAGGAGGCGCCCTTTCGCTGCCTTGGCTGAAGGGAGGGAGTGAGTGAGAGAGTGAGTGAGGGAGTGGAGGATCAGGGGCGTATTTTACGTTGGTAACTCAAAAGGTCACATGAGAGTGCACTACAGCCAAAAGCTCACCTAAAATGGAAGTGCTTGTTTATCCATAGGCCGTCTGCCCCACTTGGGTTCCTGCACGCACTTATTCTGTTCTCAGCTCGACGCGGACACACCACATGTGGATCAAACACTGTCATCCCAGGCCTACCAGATTTGAGGGTGCTTCACGACCCATCGGCTGTCGATCACACGTTGGTACCTGCACATGCTAATTCTCATGTCAGCTCAAATGCGGCATCCCCTGACATGTGCAGGCATGGTGCTCCCGAGCCTACCTGGTCCGGGGTTGCTTTGTTTTTCATGACCTGCCTCCTGTCTTTGCATTTCTGCACACGGCCGGGGATGAGTTCCAGCAACAGCTGCCCAAAGCTCTATACTCAAATCACATGCGCATGCATTGCATTTGCAAGCCCACCTGGTCGGAAGGAGCCTCGTTGTCGATGGGCGGGCGGCCGGAGATGAGTTCGAGCAGCAGCACGCCGAAGCTGTACACGTCACTGCGCTCTGTCAGCAGCCCTGTGTTCATGTACTCTGGCGCCACGTAGCTGTGGGTTGGATGGGGGTGGGTGGGACAGGAAAGGGGGAACAGAAAGATGGTGGAGTTGAAGGGCCTCATGAATAGACCTCGTTCTGTGAGCAGCCCCGCGTTAATGTACTCTGGCGCCACGTAGCTGTAGTGGAAAGGGCGTAAACGAGGGAGGGTCGTTCACTACAAGGCAAACGAGTTGATTTGTCAGCAGCCCCAGTGTTTATGTACTTTGAGCTGAGTCACATTCTAGCACTCACATAGCGACAATCACATGCCAACACTTCACGATTTTGAGGGCATCTCACCCAAACGTGCCCATGACACGCGTGCCCACGTGCCCCTGGTCCCTCCCCATGGCCTTGGCAAGTGCGAAGTCTCCCAGCCTGGCAGGCACTCATAGGCTAGCACTCCCATGCCGCCCCCACATCCCCGCACCCACATGTGAGCACTCCATGCTTAATCAGCACAGCTCAAACTCACCCAAACGTGCCCATGACTCGCGTGCCCACGTGCCCTTGATCCCTCCCCATGGCCTTGGCGAGAGCAAAGTCCCCCAGCTTGGCGTTCCACTGCGCATCCAGCAGCACGTTTGACGCCTTCACATCGCGATGCACCACCTTCACTGCCATGCCGCCATGCAGGTGGGCGAGACTGCATGGGGTGAGATGGGGAACAGAAAAGAAAGGGAAGGGAAGGGGGTGCATCAGAGGGAGGTCAGCACTCACGTCCCTCTGTACCACCTACACTGCCATGGAGATGGGCAAGACTGCATGGGGTGAGACGAAGAGGGAACTACGGGGGGCTGGGAAGGGGGCGCAGCACCTGGGATTACCTACCTGCACCAATCAGCTATCGCACGGCACTCACCCTTTGGCACACCCTACAGCCACATGCATAAGCATGCAGCACGCATGGGGTTGAAAAAGAGAGAAGCTACAAGTGAGAAGAGAGGCGGAAACACGTACCCTTTGGCACACCCGATGGCCACGTGCATGCGCATGGGCCAGTCCAGTGTATCCGCGGACCCCCCAGCAGCGTCTGGTAGAGCCAGGCGTCCAGGGAGCCGTTGGGCAGGTACTCGTACACCAGCATGCGCTCCTCGCCCTCCACACAGCACCCCAGCACCGCTGCTAGGTTCGGGTGCTTGGCCTGCGCTAGCGAGTCTATTTCGAACTTGAACTCGCGGGGGGATTGCTCTAGACTGGGGCAAGGGAGGGGAGGGCAGAGGGAGGGCGGAGGGAGTGAGGGGGAACAAGCTTAGGCTAGGGAGTCAACTGCGAACTTGAACTCGCGGGGGGATTGCTCCAGACTGGCATGATAAGGGACGGTGGAGGTGGTAACAAGGGGGGGGAGAAGGGACGAGTGGGGATATGGTAAGAGGGGAGACGGGGTAAGAATGGGCAGACACGACGCGTGAGATAAATTGCACTGCAGCCGGGTGTGACAGAGATGAAGCTTGGATTCAACGTCTTGTCAGTTGTGTGTTGGACTTACTTTTTGTCACTCAGTCGTTTCACAGCCACTGTGGTCCCCTCGGGTAACCGCGTGCGGTAAACAGTGCCGTGCCGCCCGCTGCCCAGCACGCTGCGCTCACTCTGCCGCCCGAAGTCGTTCGTCGCCAGCGCCAGCTCAGCAACCGTGAAGTACCGCTCCAAACCGTGCCCTGCTGCCTCGTCACCATCTGCTGACGTGTCTGACGTATCTCCATCCGTCCTCTCTCCTTCGAGTCCGTCTCCCCTGCCACTGTTTCTGCCAGGGAACGCACCAGCAGGAGCAGCACGTGAGGGCGAGATAGCAGCAGCTGCTGCAGCAACAGTGGCAGCCGATGCCCCGGCCCAGCCCCGGGGAATAGCAGGCGATACCGCTGCTCCTCCTGCTGCGCCCGCTGCTGCTGCTGCTGCTGCTGCTGCTGGCGTTCTAGTGCTTGCTATGGGCTGTTTAGCTTCTCTTGCATAATCGCTCTCGCTATCATCACTGGTAACGCTGCTCTCCTCCTCCTCCTCCCCTCGCTCCCCCTCTGCAGCAAGCAAATCTGTCACTCACAGCGACCTCCCTGCAGGCCTATACACACCCACCCGCACGCCAGATGAGCCTGCCCCAGCAGCACCACCTGTACCAGATGCACCTGCTCCACTTCCACCTGCCCCTGGTGCTCCTGCCCTTTGTGCTCCTGCCCCTGGCTTGCGGGGGCTGTCCCCTAGAATCCCCTTCCCCACTGCTGCAGCGCTGGTAACAGCCGGCGCTACAGCAACTCTCCCGCACCCCCCACTCTCCTCCATCTCAATCTCCTCCGTGTCCGAATCCCTATCGCTGGTCGCACCAGACGCAACAGTGGTAGCAGACACTGCTGCTGCTGACTGCCCCCCAACACGGCCCCTGCTCGCCGCTGCTGCTGCTGCCGCTGCAGCAGACGCAGCAGCTTTTGCAGCAGGCGATCCAGCAGGCTTGGCAGCAGATGTGGCAGCAGAAGGCGCAGCAGGCGCAACCACACGAGTCACGCCACTGCTGCTGTTGTGGGTGTGAGCAGCGCTGGCGCCCACGAGAGAGCCCCCCTTGCTGGCATCGTCCCACCCTCTGTCCCTACTCACCACCGACGACACCACTGAGTGTGACCCCCCCATACCCTCACTCTCGCTCTCACTCTCACTCTCCCTCCCCCTCTCTCTCCCGCCCTCCCTCTCGACCTCTCTCGCTGCAACCGACTCAGCCACAGCAGCACGCTGGGCCCTCGGCGCGCCCCACCCGCCGAGGGCCTTCACAGGGCTGGGGGTGGTGGCGCTGCTGCGCACCACGCTAGCGACGCTTGCACTGCCATAGGCCGTCGCTTTGTCACTCGACTGCGGCAAGTAGGCACTGTCGTAGTAGGCAACAGACGCAGCACCACCTGCACCTCCAGCAACACTGCCCCTGTCGCTCCCATCCCTTGACTCATCCTCCTGCCGGCCAAACGACCCGCTCTGCCCCGGCCCCCGAGCCTGCACCTGAGGCTGTTCCCAAGCCGCTGGTTTCTGAGCCTGCTGCACAGGTCCGGGTGACCGCCTCGGCGGCGTCCCACCCTGTCGCTCGTTCCGCTCCGAACGTCCTCGCGATGCTTGCCTGGCTGTGGCGGCCACAGCAGCCGCTCCCGCTGCCGCCGCTGCGGCTCCCGCTACAGCCGGTCCTGCTACAGGCGCCGAGCGCGACGCGCCGCCTGTCGGCGAGGCGGCAGCGGGGAACACAACGCGATCGCGCGAGGACGGCAGACAGCCGTTCATCTCGCCGCCCATCTCGACATCGACGGCCAGGGAGCGCGCTCCGGGAGAGCCGACAGACGCGGCGACGGAGGAGGGCGGCTTGGCGCCGATACGATTTGTCTGCTTCTGCTTCTTTGCCGCCCAGGCGCCGCCCGCGGCGACGGACAGGGCGGGTTCCTTGAGTCCGTCATTCGCCTGATGAGGGCGGCAGTCAGCGAGTAGGGTGTAGAGGGGGGTTGGGGGGGTGAGGTTGGGGGAAGGGGTGCGGGAGTGGGGTTGGGAGGAAAGGGAGGAGGCAGGGTAAGCGGGTGTTGTGAGCGAGAAGTGCAAGGAAGGCAGAAGGGAAGCGGAAAGGGAGATGGAGGAGGCTGATGAGATGCTGCAGTGGACCGGGGTGGGATTGCATCTAAAAGATTGCACACCAGGTTGAGATTGCAGAGGTGTGCAGGTGGGTGACCTACCACGCACCACGCCAGTCTCTGACTTGCGGCACGCTCATTCTGAATGTTTTCGTATGAAGCCCACACACACGCACGTACACCCACAAAAGCTATCCCACAACTCACCGCGCCCTTGGCGGTCTTGCCCTTGCGCTCGCCCTTGCAGCAGCAGCACCACACGACCAGCAGCACCGACAGAATACACGCCAGCCCCGCAGCTGCGCCTATCGCGATATACACAGGCGTCGTCAACCCGCCGCTGCTGCCGCCGCTGCTGCCGCTGCTGTCACTGCTGTTACCGCTGCTGTTGGTGCCGTCCGCAGCAGCCGCGGTACTGCCAGTCGCGGGTTGCGGCGACGGCGGCGGAGTCGCCGGCTTAAGCGGGATGAACTCGTCCGCGGGCGAGGCGGACGGCGGGGAGGGGGAGGAGGCATTCCGCGGAAGGGGAGTGGCGGAGTTAGACGGGGCGGGATGGGCGGAGCGGGGAGGGATGGTGGGAGTGTTTGGTACGGTGGTGGGGGAGGGAGATACTCCAGGCACTGTGGGGTTGTTGGGCGGCAGTTTGGGGGTAACTGGAAGCCTGGGCTTGGGAGCGACCTTGGGAGTGGGTACAACGGGAATCCGCGGAGTGGGTGTAACGGGAGTCTTGGGTTTGGGTGTGGGTGTGACGGGAATTCTGGGTGTGGGGGTTTTTGGCGGCAGCTTGGGCAGCGGGACGTAAGGCGGATCGCCCGGACAGGCCTGCATAAGCGCACAGACAAGGCGGCAAGTGAGCACAAGAGATCCCGAGTTTCACGGCTTTCCTGATGTTCCTGAACAGTGCTGCATGCAAGGAACAGTGAAAACCAATCGAGCATATAGCTGACGGTGAAGCATCTAGCCGGTAGGCAAGCCTCTAGCCGACAGATTAGCATCTAGTAGACTCACCGTTAGGCCGGTGAATCCGGTTCCGCAGAAGCCGGCGCCATTGGCGGAGAAGTTGTAATGGGCGGTGCGGCTGGCGCGCAGGTAGTCGAGCCCCTTGGGCACGCGGCCCGTGAGGCGGTTCTCCGCCAGCGACACGTCCTGCAGCAGCTTCAGATTGCCGACGGCGTCCGGAATTGAACCCGCGAGCTCGTTGTTGTTGAGCTCAAGTACCTTGAGCTGCACGGGTGCACCAGGGCATTGGAGGCGTTGGGGGCATTGAGGGCATTGTCGCAGGGCATTGTCGCAGGGCATTGTCGCAGGGCTTTGTCGCAAGGCATTGATACATGGGTGCACTGTTACGCGGGCTAATGGTGGCAGTGCAGATGAACAAGTGTTTGCCATGCCGATCTGAGTAGCTGCAGGTCGTGTTGGCATGGTAGAGGAGCCATAAGCGCAACAGGCCACGTGGGCGATTGGACCCAACAGAAAATAAGGAGGGCGGGATTTTTGTCGAATATCATGACAGAACACGGAAAGAGAGGGGGGGGGGGGAGGAGGAAGAAGGACGTGCCTTGGTGAGGAGGCCGAGGGAGGCGGGAATGGCGTCGCCGAGCTGGTTGCGGCTGAGGTCCAGCGAGAAGAGCTTCGTCACCAGATTCAGCTCCGGGATTCGCCCGCCCAGCCGGTTGTTGCACAGGTTCAGCACCTGCGAAAATACCACACCCGACGGAATCCGTCAGAACAGTGAGTCTCGTTCACTTTCACAGAGCCCGCGTTCACGTTAACTGAGGTGTTTGAAAAGGCGAGGATATTTGGGCCTATAGATTATGTCGATCGTGTCTCTATCGAGACGCCTCAAAGCTCGATATTACGATGTCTCAAAAGGCAAGGGGATTCGCACCTGGAGGCTGAGGATGTTGTTGATGCTGTCGGGGATGACTCCGCTGAGGGTGTTCCGTCCCAGGTCGAGAAACGTGAGCGTCGCGATCTGATTGATCTCCACGGGAATCTCGCCCGCCAGGCCCAGGCCGTTCAAATGCAACGCAACTGGCTGGTGGTGGCCGTCGCACGTGACTCCCTGCGCTGAATAGAGTGATTGTATTGAAGAGCAGACGACACTATTGAGAATACAGCGGTTCACAATGCGGTGGAAGCCGGTGCAGGTGAGTGTTAACAGAGACGGTGGATTGTAGGTGGCAGCAGCCGATGCAATAGGAACATTCACTATCGACAGTTTTCCATGCAATGACAACCGGTAACTTGCTTCCACGAAGCTTCACGCACTTGAAAGGTAGGGCTTCCGCAAGGGTCGCCATTGGTCCGCCATGAGCTGAGTTTCTGCACGCCGGGGTCCAGCTTCGCCGCTATGCTGCTCCAATCCGTCGCCACGGTGTGGCTTGCTAACCCCAATACGACTAACGCGAGCAAGTACGAGTGTACTACTTTCTGCATCCCTATTCTAAGTTTCGACGGTCCGATTTCTGTCATTGTGAAGTTGCAATGCTGCTGAGACTTTGATAGAGATGGAGAAAAAAGTAGTTCTGAAAAAAACCCAGACTTTGTTGACTGCAAGAGAGAAGGAGAAAGGCCTCCTCCAGCACCTATGCCTCGTCCCCTAAGCCATGGCGATGCAGTTGACGACCTTTAGAAACGAATGAAGACCTCACGTGCTAGAGAATCAAGCTTCCTAGTACAGGGGACTCTGCTCCAGCATATTTCACGGTTTCCTCTACTAGTCTTCACGGCAGCACTAGGGAGCAATCCATGTATCTGCTCCTCGCCCACTTGCACCACTCAACTTGTCCGTCTGTATACCTGCGCCCGGTCAACTATTCGCTAGTCCTCCGCCTACCCCTTCCTTCCCCTGCACCCAGAAATGGTCTTCAAACGCCTATTCGTAGTCGGTCAATTCCTGCTGGGGAATGCATATATGAAGCCGTGACCAGCGGCATCTTTGGGCATGATGTGATTGACGACTTCTGTTTGTTCCTCGGATTCGCGATAAAACCGAGAACGTCAGGGGCGGTGGTGACGGGTATGACTCACTGCTCTGGCAATTGCTGATTGGCTTACCTAGCGCAATCAAGGGGGGAGATAGGGGCAAACACAGGGTTTTATTACGGTTCAGTCTGGTGTTAGCAGTAAGGGCTGTGCTTAGCGGCGAACTGCCAACAAACTCCCATAGTTTTTGGCCAGACAGGGAGGCCCGTTGGGCTCATGAAGAAATGGGACAAATTACTCCGAATCGCACATGTCGACATCCCCATCGCAGGATGTCAACGAGGCTCGCCAGGTGCTGTGGTTTCTTCGTCAACAGGCAGCGCGGCTATCGCGAAAGCTGACTGTCAAAGCGCTTGTGGCAGAAGGGGCCAAATAATCGGGGGCGGGGAAAATGTCCCGCACGATGAAATCAAGGTGAGCACAGACAGGTCTGCGATTCGGAGAGTTGCCGTTGAGTATCCACTATAAGGCCCATCGAGAGACTTTCGACACCTATCCAGTTTCAGCAAACTACTTGTAAGGAAAATTCCTTTTCCTTACTTCGCGCCCCTGATGCGTACAAGACCATTCCCGCCATGGGCACCCAAACAGTGAAACGTGTCAGAAACTAGACAAGGGAATGATTGCACTGAGAAGAAAGTTGGTACAAGTACTAACCTTAATTGGGTTATACCCCTTATGGGCTACTCCACTACAGTCTACACAATATAAACATTATAATAGTTTGACACACCCCCATAGGCAAAGTGGGGGAGAACAAGTGGTCACAAGACCGGTCAAGAAAAAGCAAAGCAAGCTCAGGGTGGATCACAAAGTCACCACACACTCTGAGCACAAGCAAATGGCCACAAGGCCAGTTCACATGCAGAATTATACAAACGAGAACCAACAGTACAGTGATCATAACCTAGCAGGGGTAAGCATGCAGGTATATGTACTGTATATAGATCACAGTACAAGCAAAGTCACGCAATGAGCAAGTGAGGCAAAGTAGGCACAAGGCCTAAAACAGTACAAAAAGGCTGATGATCACTAGGCTCAAGTGCCTTGGTGAATATATCAGCAGTGTTGGCCCGAATGGCCATGTAAGCAAGACGAAGCTGACCACGCTGCTGCAACTCTCGAGCAAGGAAGTAACGCAGAGCGATGTGCTTCGTCTTGTGCTCCAGTCTGTGCTCCCGACACAAGGCAATCATGGCCTTGTTGTCTACGTAAAGAACTGGAGAAGAACGAGGTTGCTCTCCCAAGTCGGTCAACAGGTAGGTGAGCCAGCGTATCTCCTGTGCAGCCATGGCCCCTGCGTAGATCTCAGCCTCACAACTAGAACTGAGAATAGAAGACGAGCGAGTAGACCGCCAAGAAACAGAGCCGGGGCCAAGGCTGAAAGTGTAACCCTGTGACGACCGCTGCATAGCCAAGTTGTCAACCCAAGAAGTGTCTACATGTCCAGTGAGGACAACTGGACCCCGTCCTCCAAGTACGAGCCCCATGCCCGATGTACTGCACAAGTAGCGCAACACCCTCTTAGCGGCCTCCCAGTGCTCTGGTCGGTGTCTCCCAGGCGCAACTTAGCGTGCCAGGATGCTAAGAGGGTAGGCAAGGTCAGCTCGAGTGCAGGTCATCAGGTACATGAGGTAGCCCACAAGCTCTCGACATGGGCCACTCGGCTCTACGGACTCGTCCGAAGGTGGAGCTGAGAGCGAGTGACCGATAGGCAGAGGAGTGGACTGTGGCGAGGAGTACCAGAAGCTGAAGCGCTGAAGGACCTGGTGCACCATGTGTGACTGAGTCAGGGTGATGGTGCGCCGTGCTCTGTCCCGGGTGATCCGCAAGCCAAGATAGCTACGCAGCTCACCCAGGTCAATGCAGGTGTGTCTCTTCTGCAGCTCCGACTTCACAACGGCCAGTGCCTCAGTGTCAACAGTGTTAAAAACCAAGTCGTCGACGTACACGAGGACGTACGACGGCGGCAGCGAAGTGTCGGTGCGCAGAAACAACGACGGGGTAGCAGTCGAAGGAGCAAACCCAAGAGCTGCAAGCGTCGTCCTCAGTGTGTCGTGCCACTCGCGAGGCGCCTGGCGGAGACCGTAGACTGGCCGCTGGACGCTCCACTGGGTACTTGCAGGAAATGGCCCAATGAAGCCAGTTGGGCGGCGCAGCCAGATCTCCTTGTGCAGGTTGCCCTGTAAGAAAGCCGTGCTGAAGTCAAGAGAGTGCAGCTCGTGGTCACACTGAGCGGCGACGTGCAACAAAACCCGAAGAGTGGTCATCTTCGGGGTAGGGGAGAAGGTCTGGAAGAAGTAAACTCCCTCTCGGTGACAGAAGCCTCGTACAACGTAACGAGCCTTGAAGACAGGCGGAGAACCCGGTGGCCGCTTCACCCTGAAAATCCACATGCCATCGACTATGTTTGCCCCAGGAGCGGTAACTGCGTCTACGTAGGTGCTTGTGGACTTCCAGGATGCCATCTCTGCGTCCATGGCTAACTGCCACTAAGAGGAGTAGGGACCCGTAATCGGCTCTGTGTAAGAGCGCGGGGTCGGGATGTCTAGTGCATCCGAGTCTCCCTCAGGTGCAAGCAGCATGGCCACGAGATGAGGTATAGCAGCTGCAAGACACTCAAAGTCCTCCTGCATGTCCTCAAGGACGTCCGTGCCAAGAGCACACTCACCCCCGATGGATGGAGGACAGTCAGACTCAGACTCAGCAACAAGACTAGCGGCGTAGTCGAGACGACATGCGGCAGCAAAGTCAACAAGCTCAGCAACTAGGGCAGACGCAACAGCGGACTCAAACGAAGGGTCAGTGACAACAATGGCTAGAAGACGTGTGACAGTAGGACTGGCAGCACCAACTAAGTTAGACTCAGGGTCTGGACCGTCAGCAAGAGAGGACGCAGGAGACGGCAGGGGAACTCGCAGTGGAACAGAGGAAGGACGAAGTGCCATAATGTGAGTGCTAGGGACAGGAGGAGGACGCGGACGAGGAACACGATGACTAGTGCGAACAGCGCGAACAGGCGAGGCATGACGAGACTCAGGCTCACGGCGCTCTGTAAGAGAGTCTGTTTGCTCAGCGTAAGGAGAAGGAGCAGGCAGTGAGGAGTCTGGCTGTAATTGTGGCTACGACTGGTGAGGCAGCGGACACAGTAAACGAGGAGTAAGGCCAGTAGAAGACGGGAGATAAAGAACCTGGCGAAGGACCGAGCCAGGTGGCGGCAGAGACGACGGCGGCGGCGGAACGAAAAACAGTCGCCGCTGCACAGTGCCTCCAGCACCAGTACCGCCAGCTCCAGCACCCCCAGCGCCAGCACCTTCAGCTCCAGGGTCTCCAGCTCCAGTGCCTCCAGCTCCAGTGCCTCTAGCTCTAGCTCCTCCAGCTCAGCACCTCCTGCGCTTGCACCTCTAGCTCCAGCGCCACCAGCTCCAGTGCCTCCAGCTCCAGCTCCTCCAGCTACAGCGCCTCCAGCGCCAGCGCTTCCAGCTCCAGGGTCTCCAGCTCCAGTGCCGGTCAAAATGTTATATAGCTTACTTTGTGTAGGCTATAGTGGGGTAGCCCATAAGGGGTACAACCCAATTAGGGTTAGTACTTGTACTCAACTCTTTGCTAGTTCATTCATTCTCGTTCATTCTTCTGACATAGTTTTAGAGCAGGTCCTCCGCTAGGACCGTTTTTTTTCCTTGGGCCCACCACAGCGCTACCCCGCTAGCCGCCCTTTGCAGCCCTCGCGCTGCCCCTACTGCCTGTCGCGACCGTTAGGCCCGTAGGCCCGTCGCCACTAGCCTATTGCCTCGGCCCGTCGCCCGTCGCCCGTCGCCCCGCGGCCCGTCGCCCGTCGCCCGTCGCCACCTAGGCCCGTCGCCCGTCGCCCCGCGGCCCGTCGCCCGTCGACCCCCCCTACGCCCGGCCCGTAGCTCTTCGCCTCACGGCCCGTCGCCCTTAGGCCCCCCGAGGCCCGTCGTTCCTGGCCTCGCGGCCCGTCGCCCCTAGGCCCCCGGCCCCTCGGCCCGTTGTTCCTGGCCCTGCGACCCGTTGCCCCTAGGCCCCGCGGCCCGTCGCCCCTAGGCCCCCAGCCCCTCGGCCCTTTGGTTCTGGCCCCGCGGCCCGTCGCCCCTAGGCCCCCGGCCCCTCGGCCCGTTCCTCCAGGCCCCGCGGCCCGTCGCCCCCGGCCCCTCAGCCCTTTGTTCCTGGCCCCGCGGCCCGTCGCTCCTAGGCCCCCGGCCCCTTGGCCCGTTACTCCAGGCCCCGCGGCCCGTCGCCCCTAGGCCCCCGGCCCCTCACACCTGGCCCCGCGGTCCGTCGCCCTTAGGCCCGCCCGAGGCCCGTCGATCCTGGCCCCGCGGCCCGTCGTCCCTAGGCCCCCGGCCCCTCGGCCCTTCGTCTCTGGCCCCGCGGCCCGTTGCCCCTAGGCCCCCGGCCCTTCTTGGCCCGTCGTTCCTGGCCCCGCGGCC